AAAGAGAGCACCATCTATGTCATTGCAGCTCGCAACAGGTGTGTTCAAAGGAGGTGGCACCAGACGGCGGGAGGGCGCGAGAAAGCGAGCGGCGGGTGGGATGAGACGGAAAGGATGTCAACAAGCGAAGGGGATGCATCAGACGAGGCGGAGGGGATGCATTAGCATGAAAAGTAAAGGGTGCCACAATTGCAGCAATGATGCATTGATGGAGCACTACAGTTAGTAAGTTACAGTGTTTAATGCATCAATATGACACGAACCTGAAAGCTTGGGATGGTGAACCAGCGCCGGACGATGAAGATGATGAGTACAAGGAGGGATGAGACGAACAAGCGTTATGGGGGGGATCACTGGGACGGTGAACTAGTACAGGACAGTGAATCAGTGCCGGCCGTGCGACGATGAATGAGTGTACCAGCACCAGACGATGAACCAGGAGTGGACGGCAAGCTGGTTCTTTGTGTAAGTCATGTCAGGGTTCCAGAGTCGGTCCAGGAGTCTGAAAATGTTGTGACAAGGGCCCTAGTATTCCTTGCGATTAGATCAGTACTAATAAATGAAACACACTTACTAATACATAGTAATATCTACACATACCTTTGAATCAGGCTTCTCGACGTCTCCAAGAATCTTTGAGAACTGTCGGCCGAATAGTGACTTTTGGGTGAGAGAAAGCAGCCACCGAGTAGATGAATACTGCAGGACCCAATAGTATCAATGGTACCAGACTCAAGTATCAATGACAGGAGCACGAAGGTAGCTGTCCTACAGTATCTGGGCATGATGAAGGATAGTAAGTGAGGATTAAAATTGCGGTAGGTAGGACTTAAGTAGATCAAGCGTTGCGCAACTTATGATGTCATGCGCGGATGACATACTATTTATGGCAATTCTGTCATCCTATCATACAACGGACCGCCGGACCAAACTTTACACAACACCAGCTGCTGAACTTCGTTCATGGGCAATAGGAAAATCTCCGCTGACCTCAAGCTTGCAGCTATCCCGTTTGGCATATTTCGGCTCCGTGAGATCCTGGACTGTGTAGGATTCTCCCGTCGTACTTTTCATCGCATCAAGGAGCTCCACGACGAGCCTACTAGAAGTGAATATCTTGGCCGTCCACGGACTCAATTTCGAAAACTGACAGTATCTTCTCGAGCTCGTTCATCATCATCCTGATTGGTTCCTTGACGAACTTGCGGCCCTCATCAAACACAACCGTTTTGTTACCGTTCACTACACAACCATGCACCGGGAGCTCGTGCGCGCTAAGATCTCGTTAGAAAAGCTCCGGAAGATCGCGAGTGAGTTGAACCTGAGCGAGCTGATGACTACTTCGAAGAATTCGAACAAAGAGCGAAGACGATGCAAGCGAACCTTTACAAGGCCCCACCATTTTACCTAAACCCTTGTGCCACCTCAGTCTCGGAGTGCGTTCAGTTCCTTTCCGGTGCATGCATGGCGTTCCTTACGTGGACTTCCATGGAGGTCCAGCAAAGACGTCAGAGGCACAGCCCTTGGCGTGGCATGCTCACCTAGCATCCGGATTTTCTCTTTTGCGCGTCATCGTAGGGTGTACTCCAGTCGAGGCTCCGGATGTTGCAAAGAAGGGCGCATTTGGGACGTGGTAGGGTTTTCATTTGGTAGGGTGGAGGATTGAAAGAATTCATAGTCTGTATTTCCTGTAATTTTGTTACTTGTATCATCAATCGGCGCTCAGCTCAGCTGAGTTATGTCCCGCAGCTGCCATGATCAATACATCTAGTTGCCAGACAAGTGCAAAGTACCAAAACACTGCTGGTATGTATCACACCGCAGTAAACCTGGTGTCTTTGCAGGCGTGGTAGTCGGTCGTGATAGCCACTACATCCCGGCCCGTGCGCCCAAAACGATATGCGATTTCGGATGTGGTAGTGGTCATATAGTGAGAACAAAGTCAAGCGCGAACAAATCACCCAAGTCGGGAACTGGCGCCGGCGCCGTTTAAGTTCATCATGTAAGTATATCTGCACTGTGGCCGCCGCAACCATATTATTTGCCAAACCAACGTGCTAGTACTTACCACTCAGTACTGTTGTGACTCCTCTATCTTCAAAAATCAACTGCGATGGCCGCAATTAGGGATGGCCAATGTAGACTAGTTCGACGTCTCAACTCTCGACCAGCGTGGCGCCAAGTCATTACTAGTACCCGTCCAATGGCATGTAGGGGTTTCTCTTCAACTGCACCACCACATAGTACAGTCGGCGGGGTACGCGTTTCCAAACTTTTCACAGCGTTACTCGCGCTTGGGATCGGAGCGACTGGTCTTGGACTGTGAGTCTTGCCTTCGAACTTTTCATTCAATCGTAATAATCTTCAAGTTGCTATCTAAAGATACGAGTTCTACACATCCTTTACCCTCTGGCCAGAGCAGGTTCGCGGGGACCTCCGCGCAGGAATAAAAGCGAGGAACCAAGGAGATTTATCGCTGAGCGAGAGATACATTACCCGGTCTGTATTGTGGTACTCCTTTATTTATGGAATTCTGACCATTGATTTTAGCGCATTCCAAACGGCACTGTCTCTTCCTTATCAGACATTTGCGCCATATCCATATCTAAAGCTATCAGGCTTAGCCTCCCTCCTTTCCGAAGTCGCCTCAGACCGTCACTCTCGAGAGGCCCTGCAGATTGCTTGGGAGCTAGGTGCCGGTCCGAGCGAACAACATTCTCCCTTGCCAGATGCCGAAAAGACGCCAAGTGCTGTGGTAGAAGGAGCGCCTGGATGGTCATACTACATCTTATGCAAAGAGGAACGCCTTCGACGCGTAGCTCTTGCGTATAAATTGGGCCAAATGGCAAGTGAACGGGACCTGGATGAGGAGGAGAAATGGCTCATATGGGCTGTAGAGGAGGTTTTGAGGCTATCTGGACTTGGGATGACAAACGCCAACTCGGATACGAACATAAAAGCGCAAGACAATACAGGGTCTAGTGCACTAGAAGATCTCGAACTTCCGTCTTGGATGTCAAAGGCAGACCTTGGTGCTCCGCTGGAGGCCCTCGGTGCCCTTTATGCAAAGAAAGGTAGAATTGAGTGAGTAGCACTCATCCAGTTAGGAATGTTGATTTCCTTCACATGTTAACATCAGCCTTTCATTAAAGCTAACGCTCTGCCAACAGGTATGCGATGCCACTGTACCTTCAGGCGATATCTTTACTCTTGCCACCCAAAGAAAATAACGTGTCCATTGAAGACCGATGTCGAGGTGAGCAAAAGCACTGCGGTTTCACTTTCTCTCATGCACAGGCCACCAACAAGCCGCTCAACTCATGAATAATCTTTCTGAATTGATAATGCGTCGTCCTCCCACACCAGAAGTACGTGCGCAAGCTGAGGCGTGGGCACGTCAAGCGTTGGGAATTATTGAGCGAGCACAAGCGCAACCAAAAAGCTCACAATGGTTCGGATGGGGACAGCCTGCTGATGATGGAAGGGAGGTTTGTGAGCAGGCGCTCGGCGTGGTGCTCTTCAATTTGGGGAGTTTGAGAGAAGTAAGTCTTTATTGAGTCATTCAAAATGCTTATTTATGATCCCTGCAGATGTCATCTGACTTGGATGGTGCAAAAAAGTTGTTCGAGAAGAGCGCCGAGCAATGTAGCAAGATGGGCATTAGGGAGGGCGTTGTTGAAGCCCAGGAAGCATTACGGAGGGTTGAGAAAATGAAGAAGGTGGGTTGATGTAAGTACCTGTGCTATCTTTCCATTAGGAACATGTTTGCATAGATGTGGTCGGATCTTAGTAGATATTACCACCAAATTTTACACGCGCTGGAGCATAGTAGGAGGTGATAAAGAAAGAAGTTTAACCGGGTCCGGACTAGCCTCGAAACGTTACCGCACATCACACGCTCAGCGCTCAGGCTCGACTCTTCTCAGCCGAAGCAGTATACTTCATAGCAATCCTGGAAGACACGGGCCATTCGCACCACAATGTTGTAATCGATCGCACTATGGATACCCAGCAAGCAGTCTTGGATTCTGCGCAGCTAACCTTTCTAGGATTAGAATATTATTCAATACAGTCACGGTCACGTCGTTAAATAAACCGATCTTAGTGTCGCGAACAAACACGAGATGACTTGGACGGACAAACCACAAAGATCGGAGCTCGCCGCTCTGCCCTTTCCTCAATGAAAGTCTTTATGGCTTGCATTCCCAAGCTGCAATTTTCAAGAAGCTGACTGGAATCTAGCCCGTGCTCTCGCTGGCTTTCTCTCCGCTGACAAATGCCTGTTCGTGCGGGAACTTGGGATGAACCTTACCCAACTTCGTTCTAGTCTGTGACCAGATTGTGATATAGAATTTTCGGACGCCCTTCAAGCCAGGCGCTATCAGATAGACTGACTTTTTTAATGTTACCGGGCAAGAGGACAGTCTAATCCCTGACACCTGGTGACCACCGTATCGTTCGTGTATACGTCCACCAACGGAAAATTGATGGTCAACATGGTGAGTCGTCATCCGCTGGCCTTGCTAATTTCAGTTTCTTACCTGCTGGTGAGGTAGCGAGTGTTGCGAATTTTAATCAAAGACAGAACACGATACTTGACCTTCTAACATCACTAGTGCACAAGCGCGCTGCTGGGTCAAAATCCGGGTAGAGCGCATCAACGAAAGCATTTCATTCGTAAATTCGTGGGTTACCAACTTGGAGTAGACTGCGGATAGACTGCCAAGGACCTGTTCCCTTATCGCAATAGAGAGATCGCGGGCGCTACGCTGCGTACGCTCTTCCTAAGAGCCCCAGTGAACAGGAGGCTGACTAAATGTTAGCTCTTCGTGCAGTGCTATTGACTAACAGTGCGTTTGGTAATTGATTGCTCTATACCCAGCAAGTAAGTCCGGGGTTTAAACTAATATTGCGCAGTCAACTTTCTGGGCTTTAAGTACAGTCACGTCGTCAAATGACCCTCCAGCTACTTGGGTCCTGGTGTCGACAAGGAACGCGACATGACGAATAAAGAGCCTCCAAAGATTGAGATTCAGCGCACTTTCCCTACTCTTGACGAGAGCCTTTATAACTTGCGCCCTCAAGACGCTGCATTTTACAAGGATCTGACCGGAATTGAAGACGATGCCACTCTGAAGCAGCATATATTGGATGTTCAAGCAGAGGCATATAAGGTATCTAGACATTTGGACACGTCTTGCCATATCGAAACTTAGTTGTTCGTGGCTAGGTTGCTCCCTACGTGTGCATTTACCTTTTCTCTTTTGCCAGGTATTTTGTTTGTACGTTTGTGCTGAGTTTACACACAAAAATCGAGCCCTTTAGACGCAGGATGTTGGGGCTACCTGCTTATCAGCAAGTTGTGCGCATCGGACGTGAACACAAGAACCCAATTTTCCTTGACGTCGGCTGCTGCTGTATGTGCCCCCTCCATCTTCCACACAGGGTGCTAATCATGATGGACGGTCTGTAGTTGGAAATGTCATCAGGGAAGTGATTCTTGATGGTTTTCCTGCAGCTCAAACGATTGGAACTGACCTCCATCAAGGTGAGCATAGCATATAAGCTCGTACATAACTTTGAACGAAGTATTCCAGAACTCTGGGATCTGGGGCATGAACTCTTCAAGTCGTCTCCAGAGACTTTTCCAGCTCACTTCGTGGGCGGGGACGCTTTTGACCCAGATATCCTCGCTGTGGCTCCGCCTGCGTCCCTACATACAACAGAAGTTTCAACTCCCGACCTCAATAACCTCACTTCGTTGAATTCGTTACGCGGATGTGTTTCCGCAATTCACGCAACAGCCTTCTTCCACTTGTTTAAAGAAGATCAACAGCTGCACATGGCACGTGCATTTGCTGGCCTTCTCTCCGCTGAATCAGGCTCCATCATTCTCGGAGCGCACGCGGGTGCTCAACAGAAGGGTGTCGTGAATCAAGTATATTGGGGTATCGAGGTTGACATGTTCGCCCACAGCGTCGAGAGCTGGACTTCTATGTGGGATGGGGAAGTATTCGAGAAAGGGACGGTCAAGGTGGATGCACAGTTAAGGGAGGTATCCGAAGATGTGGGTGGCGATGAACGTTATCCGCTGTTGCTCTGGTCTGTGACCAGACTGTGACCATGTGTTCCTCGCCATTGCTAGAGTCTAGACTAGGATATTAAATACAATTCTGGTGTGATCTGATCAGGTGTTTTGTAAGTAGTATCCCTGAGAGAACAGTTTGACATTTATCACATTGTAACGAAGCTATAACCGATAATGCAGTGATCGATCGATCACTCGTGCGGGGAACTGTACAGAACTGTAGGCACTGTGGCAATGAATTTCAGTGGTTCGAACACTGAACCAATGAGCTTCAATGTGCATAACACTGGTCAAACGAAGCAACCGGCAGCCGTAAGATATCGAATTAAGGGCAACCGAGACCGAAAATTTGGTCTTAAAAAGTTGCGGTACGGTTTGGTCTGCGGTCTTTGACCGGTTGCACAACTGGACTTTAAACCCTATTCTCGTATCTTCCAGCTTCATCTGGCTTAAGAGTCGGCGGCACGACGTTGGGCTGGTCCGAGCGTTAGCTCGGGGAGGGACGCAAGCAGGCGGAGCCGCTGTGTGGGCGGGAAACCTGCTTACGAATTCGGTCGTGCTCTAACTCTTGTGCGGTGCAATCAAGATAGGGTTAAGATTTTATACATTCTAATGATTACGATAATGATGGACTACAAAGCAGCAACGGATTAAAGGCTAATTAAGAGGGTGTGGGTGTGGGAGCAAGGAACGAGGAGGATAACGAGCGAGGATGCGGTGTCGTAGGTAGGTCGGAGAAGGAAAATTAAGTCGGCGCTCAGCTGGAATTGTGATGCCGGGAAACTCCGCAGGCTACGTCTCGGCACCAAGTCACAGCGCCACTCGTTGAACTTTCTAAACATAGACTGTCAGCGCTACTTGCTGATCAGCAAGTCCAATAACCTTGCTTCATTGAATCTCGTATGTGGACGTGTTTCCGAAATTCACACAACAGTCTTCTTTCACCTGTTTGAAGGAAACCAGTAGTTGTATATAGCCCGTGCTCACTGCTCTCGCTGGCTTTCTCTCCGCTGACAAATGCCTGTTCGTGCGGGAACTTGGGATGAACCTTACCCAACTTCGTTCTAGTCTGATCAGATTGTATATAGAATTTTCAGACGCCCTTCAAGCCAGGCGTTATCAGATAGACTGACTTTTTTAGTGTTTCCAGGCAAGAGGATAGTCTAATCTCTGACACCTGGTGACCACCGTATCGTTCGTGTATACGTCCACCAACGGAAAATTGATGGTCAACATGGTGAGTCGTCATCCGCTGGCCTTGCTAATTTCAGTTTCTTACCTGCTGGTGAGGTAGCGAGTGTTGCGAATTTTAATCAAAGACAGAACACGATACTTGACCTTCTAACATCACTAGTGCACAAGCGCGCTGCTGAGCCAGAATCCGGGTAGAGCGCATCAACAAAAGCATTTTGTTTGTAAGTTCGTGGGTTACTAACTTGAAGGAGATTGCGGGTAGGCTGCCAAGGACCTGTTCTCTTATCGTAATAGCGGACTAGATCGCGGCGGGCGCCACGCTGAGTACGCTCTTCCTGTGTTGACGCCCATATGAGTGGCTTCAAGAGCCTCAGTGAACAGGAGGCTGACTAAATGTTAGCTCTTCGTGCAGTGTTGTTGACTACTAGTGCGTTTGGTAATTGATTGCTCTATACCCAGTAAGTAATCAAACTAATATTGCGCAGTCAACTTTCTGGGCTTTAAGTACAGTCACGTCGTCAAATGACCCTCCAGCTACTTGGATCCTGGTGTCGACAAGGAACGCGACATGACGAATAGGGAACCTCCAAAGATTGAGGCTCAGCGCACTTTCCCTACTCTTGACGAAAGCCTTTATAACTTGCGCCCTCAAGACGCTGCATTTTACAAGGATCTGACCGGAATTGAAGACGATGCAACTCTGAAACAGCATATATTGGATGTTCAAGCAAAGGCATACAAGGTATCCAGACCTTTGGACACGTCCTGCCGTATCGAAACTTAGTTGTTCGTGGCTAGGTTGCTCCTTATGGCTGCATCTATCTTTTCTCTTTTGCCAGGTATTTTGTCTGTACATTTGTGCTGAGTTAACACACAAAAATCGAGCCCTTTAGACGCAGGATGTTGGGGCTACCTGCTTATCAGCAAGTTGTGCGCATCGGACGTGAACACAAGAACCCAATTTTCCTTGACGTCGGCTGCTGCTGTATGTGCCCCCTCCATCTTCCACACAGGGTGCTAATCATGATGGACGGTCTGTAGTTGGAAATGTCATCAGGGAAGTGATTCTTGATGGTTTTCCTGCAGCTCAAACGATTGGAACTGACCTCCATCAAGGTGAGCATAGCATATAATCTCGTACATAACTTTGAACGAAGTATTCCAGAACTCTGGGATCTGGGGCATGAACTCTTCAAGTCGTCTCCAGAGACTTTTCCAGCTCACTTCGTGGGCGGGGACGCTTTTGACCCAGATATCCTCGCTGTGGCTCCGCCTGCGTCCCTACATACAACAGAAGTTTCAACTCCCGACCTCAATAACCTCACTTCGTTGAATTCGTTACGCGGATGTGTTTCCGCAATTCACGCAACAGCCTTCTTCCACCTGTTTAAAGAAGATCAACAGCTGCACATGGCACGTGCTCTTGCTGGCCTTCTCTCCGCTGAACCAGGCTCCATCATTCTCGGAGCGCACACGGGTGCTCAACAGAAGGGTGTCGTGAATCAAGTATATAGGAGTGTCGAAGTTGACATGTTCGCCCACAGCGTCGAGAGCTGGACTTCTATGTGGGATGGGGAAGTATTCGAGAAAGGGACGGTCAAGGTGGACGCACAGTTCAGGGAAATATCCGAAGGCGATGAACGTTATCCGCTGTTGTTCTGGTCTGTGACCAGACTTTGAGCGTGTGTTTTTTCTTGCTTCCTCGCCATTGCTAGAGTCTAGATTAGGTTATTAAATACAATTCTGGTGTGAACTGTAAGTCACCAGGGAGTGGTATACTTGTCTTGACGAAGATGCCACGACGGAGGATCGTAGCGGTATTCAGCGCGCCAGTCTCCGATTCGTCCGACAAACGCCAGCAGGTTTGATGCCCGTGTACAGCCTTGGCCAGAGCTGTGCTCTTGTAGCGAACACAACAATCGGTGGACCGTAGCGCCAACATTCTGTCAATTCTAGCCAGACTTACTAGAACATGCGCTAGCCAAGTCTAGAATGAAGTATTCCGAAGGGGTGGTCAAGTTGGAGGCAGTGTTGATGCAGGAGATATATGGCGCTGCGACGACGGACTGACACCCAATCTAATTGCTCTGCTCTGTAACAAAGCTGTGATCCCCTTGCCACGAGTGGAAACCACGGCATTAGCCTGATATGTGTAGAAGCCTCGTAATCTGTTCTGGCCAGATGAAGATCTGATTGTCTAGGCATGACTATCTATAATGTGTGGATATAAGAATTTACCTTGTGAAGAACTCCCTCGTTACTGTAGACTTCAAAAGAAGATACACTTCTGTAAGCATCTGTTTCTATTTTGTAATGACTGGAAATATCTGGAGGGGTTGTTCAATGAAAGTATAACGGTGCTAGAAAGATCACAAACGATAAGCATCATGGCGTTTGGGCTGCTATTGATGAAATTCGCATGCCAGTGTTAAGGCTACGTGCAATCAATTTCTGCTATCTGACATTAAACGACTTGCTCAGTTGCAATTCGATGGCATTCTCGGATGCAACGCAGCTACCATCGAACCTTATCAAAATTACTGCACGAAGTGGGGGTATTTAGAAGGGACTTACCTCGGTGAACAATCTGGCCGCCCATTAAAGTATATTATACCTGTGGAATTCAGCCATGCCACATTGCGACTATTAACCCATACTGTTACGATATGGATGTCACAGACAAAACTGAGGCTGAGCTTCCCAGTCCAAGAACAGGGGTATTCATAAGAGCGCAGATACAGAGGAAAATACGACTTCGCGGGCCAGGAAGCTCCCACAGGTGACAATTCTGTGGTAAACTTTGGTTATGCAATCCTACAACAACTACTACTAGTAGCATCACCATAGCACACCGCACTGTAAGTGACTAGTAAATTAATAATGCTGCACGCGGTCACCGGTCGATGTATTGATACCGGGAGATTGAACCGCTGCGGGGATGTCAATGTGCTGTATCAGGCTGTATCTTTCGAATTGAAAGTAAATGGGACAAACCCAGAAGAGCTGACGACGGAGGTCTTTAAGAATGTTAAGTTGATGCTGAGTCTTTTTACTAACTTGATTTTTTTGCTGACATAAGCACACCTCTGTCCCTTTGTTAGGCGTGACTCACTTATTCGTGGCAGCGCCTCCCTCAATCCCAAACATCATAGTCACCACCAGACTAATTTCTTAGTTGTCATCCATCGCAAATGGCTTCGAAGGATGATACGCAAGCTAAAGCGCCTCCAGAAACCCGCAATGTTGTCCAATTCCTCCGCAGCAGTAAATCTGGCATGAAAATACGTGTTGGTGCGTTGAATGGGAAACGCGTCGATTATTTCAAAGGTATCTGATCGTTTTGGAGTCAATTTTTTGCTGCCACTGTTCTAACCATGACCGTCATCACCACCACTACCAGGCAAATCCGCAGTGAAAGCCCTCCTCTCGCCCGCCTATGCAAAAGTAAAAAACGTACCCAAGGTCACTACGGAAGTCGAGGCTGAGGCCCTCCTCCAATCATCCATACAATACGCTTTTTACCTCCGCGTAGACCGCGGCGCACCCACAGGCTCATCCATATCTCCGCGCCACGTCACTGTCGTTCAGCAACAACAATTTGCCCAAGATGCGTACTTCGTGTGGCTCTACGAAGGTTCTCAATGGACTACATATGCTGGCGGACTTTTGATGGTCGCGCTTATGCTTGCAGCCGTAATGTTCCCGTTGTGGCCCCCAGTGATGCGTTTGGGTGTGTGGTACCTGAGCATTGCCATGCTGGGTTTACTCGGCGCATTCTTTGGACTCGCAATCATACGGTTGATATTCTACATAATCACCGTGGTCATAGCAAGCCCTGGAATTTGGATCTTCCCTCAATTATTCGCAGACGTTGGTGTTGTGAGTTGTGATGTTTTTTGTTTTTTGTATCCTTGTTTCTTAGGCATTTGGCGTAGATCGAGTCATTTGTTCCGTTGTGGGAGTGGGATGTTCCAAAGAAGAAAGCCGGGAAGAAGAAGAAGGCAAAGGCTCCCGCTGGTGCGAGTCCTGAGGAACAGCTTGCTAATAACGGTGGGGCTTTTATCGAGGAGGTTGGTGATGAGTCCCCAGAGCAATCGCGTCCAGGGAGTCGCTCGGCACGGGTGGAGGAGGTTCCAGACGTGGATTCATAACGGGATCATCGCATGTTTGTAGGCAATGTTTATTATGCTTTCAGTGGAGCAAATGGGGATGAGGGGACTAAAATTTCCTTTATACTCACCAGGAGTTGTCTAGACTACGCACTTCTCACACTCATTCCCTGGTCCCGGTTCGATCCATTCACCATGCATGATTCCCTTGTACTGGCAGCTCTTTAGATGCAACTAGTCACAGCTATCGTGAAGTTCAGAGCTCAGGCACTGTCACTCGCTGGCCCCATATGCTATCTCGGTTTCATATTGGTTTTGCTAATTTCAAAGTAGACTTTCAAACAACTGCAATCATGTTATAGCTGATGGCGCAACATGCATCACAGTATACGACCTGGCACGATATGCCCTGGCCTCCACACAGTAGTAACTTGGGATAACCCAGCGTACGATGCATACCATATTCATAACAGGCATGACATATAAAGTGGTGACGATAAACGAAAAGGACTAGCACAAAGCTTACAGCTTGCCAAGAGCAGCAGCCTTGGAGTCCAAACCAGCAGCTTTCGCGCGCTTGCGCATCATTTGAGTGGACTTGTATCCACGGAGACCACCACCCCAGTGACGGCGCTGATCTTCGTACTTGTCAGTGCTTTGAATTCCCATTAGCACTGAAGCGTAGATACAACATGAAAAGGGAAAACTCACAAGTTGGCTTTGGCGGCGCTGACGAGGGTTGCAAGCTCGCGCTGGTCTTCGCTCTTGACATCTTGGAGAGTGAGAATGGCAGCGGTCTTCTTGTGGACCACGGTGCCCAGACGGGCTTTGCCCTTGACGATGACATAGGGGACACCCATTTTGCGACAAAGAGCGGGAAGGAAGACAACCAACTCAATGGGGTCGACGTCGTGAGCGATGATTACGAGAGACGCCTTCTTCGCCTCGATGAGGGCGACGCAGTGGTTCAAACCGTACTTGACGAAAAGAGGTTTCTTGTCCTGTAGATCATCTATATCAATAACCTGCAATTTACAATACGTCGAATACAAACCTTGGCAGGTTCCTTTTCCTCAGCGGCAGCTTTGGCTAGAGCCTCGAGACGCTCCTTCTTCTCGACTTTGCTCTCCGGGCGGTATTTGTTGAGGAGCTTGAAAAGTTGTGTAGCAGTGTTCTTGTCCAGAGTGTGGGAGAACTGGGCAATAGCAGGAGGAACTTTCAAGCGCTGAGAAAGAATGACCTTCTGGCGTTGAAGGCGGATGTACTCGGGCCATTTGACAAAGCGAGTGAGATCGGTCTTAGGACGAATATGTTGGCCTAAAAAATACATCAGTTGGCAATTTTGCGAAACAAAGATGAAGCGAACCAATGCCAAAGTTCTTCGGCTTTGCCTCGAAGAGAGGATTTTTTGTGATTTTTGCAGCTTTGCCAGCAGCACCTGGTGCGGATGCGGGTTTCTTGCGGGAACCGGCCTTGACTTTGGGGGGCTGGTCATTGAGACGAGAACGAATCAGCATGCGAAGCAGAGCACAAAAGTGCCTGCGACGTAAGCTGCATGTCTCGGAGCTCTAGCACTCCTGGATGACTGTGCATCCAACGAGTCCAGCAATATAAAGTATCATCATCGTACATGACGACTCCACTTGACTTGATAACAAGGATCAAGATTTGCGCTGAACCAATTCTATATGAATATGAGGATGATATCCCATGGCGTTATCTGGATGAAGGACTTGCCATCCATTGTATTGAAGGTTGAAGAGTATGGACTGAATAGTGCTAGGGTGCTCCGATGCACACAGCGAACGACGCTTGCTGGCAACTCACCATTTTGACGGTCTTGAGGGGGTAGGTCTTGAGGTTAAAGTCGTCGATGGTCGATCTCTGTATGTCAAAGTTATGTTTACACTCCGCTTCGGCAACACCCGACACTGACTGAGCAATCATCAGTACTAGTCATTAATGGGACCGGCATATAATGTCTTCTAATATTTTGAGACGCATCCTCACAAATGCACGAGTTTTCTCGACCGGACCCCCTCCCACTTCCCGTTCGCCACGCCGCTACCTCAGAACACTAGCCCTTGGCGGTTCCGTTGCCATCACCGGCTACACCCTTGGCGCCTTCTACCCGCACCCTTACATTACCTTCATCTCCCCCCGGCCAGCCCCAGCGCCCCCCGACCCTGATTCCCCACAATCAATTAGATACACCGCAACTCTCGAACAAACCCTACAAACCCTCCCACTCCTCACGTCCCACCGTGCTCAGCCCGACGCCCACGAGTGGTATGAGAGCCGCCCTTATGCTAATTACCCAGAGGAGCTCCGCGTAAACAGCCTCACTGCAGGTGCACTTCGTGGCCCCGGAAAACTCGCGCTTCCACCTCTCGTACGCGCTAGGAAGGATGAGAGTGAGGCTCTCGTCATCGTGCATGTAGGTCGGGGTGTGTGTGGCCATGATGGGATAATTCACGGTGGGCTACTGGCTACTATTTTGGATGAGAGTCTGGCGCGAACTGTGAGTTATTTGTTCCGAGCATTGAGCGTGTCTTGACCTATTGTACAAGGCGATTATTAATTTACCAGAAAAGATTGGCGTCACTGCCAACTTGTCCATAAATTATCGCGCCCCGACCTTTGCGGATCAGGCAAGTACCTCTTTCTTTCACATACTTACGTGCTTGACCGGGCACTAGTTCATCGTCGTCCGGATCAGTTTAGTCGACAAGGCAGGTCGCAAATCCAAGGTCACTGGCAAAGTAGAGGATCTCAAAGGCAACTTACTGGTCGAAGCGCAGTCAGTCTCCAATCTTTTGAACTTAACTCTTCTTACTCATTCCTGCATTGTCCAGCGCAACTTTCGTTCAACCCAAATATGCCCACCTACTCAAGAGCAAGGCTGTTCAACAAATGATGGGCGACCCCGAACCTGCTAGATCAACTCCCGTACTCCTCAGCGAGGGCATGCCGCCTCCCCCATCCAAGGCATAGAGCAATTCATACCATTTATTAACTTATATAGTATGCCGTTAGAGATACCTGTATCATAGACCAACCCTAGATGCAACTTACCGCGGAGGATGCGACAAACTCGTTTCCATTCCTCAAAGCACAATCTCCACACACACCCCGTGTTCTCCATCAGTGCCACATCATAGCTATGTCACACCTTCCAAATGCCGCGTCAAGCCACCCGCGCTCCTTCCAACGGAACCCCACCCCATTTACCTTCAACAGGCCAGTGTATTCAGGCATTAGGGATCCGAAGAAGCCATACCGACGCTGATAGGAACGCTACAGCAGTTAACAACGGGCGTGTGCAAAGTGATGATCAACGTGAGATCTGTACTGATCTGGGCCGCATGACAGCCAGCTAGTAATTAGCAAAGCGAGGTGAGTGCCTTGATTCGTAATACTGGGCCAGGAAACGCCTGTCCTTCGAATCTGCGAAATTTGAAAACAAGGGTCTACATGCATTCTCACCTAGATCGGAGGAAATCAGCGGTAGATTTTATGACTGAGCACCCTGTCGTGTACGTGTAATCCTCCGCTCGTTATCCGCGGATTTTTTGTGACGTGCAGGCGTGGTGAAGTCTTGTTGACAAATCAACTATATAGTACAAAACCTGAATGATCCTTGAGGTGAAAGGGGCTCCGGGGTTCTGTAAACGCCTGATAGTTGTGTTGTGATTCCCCGCCGGATGCCCTGTCTGTTTTACCCGAGGAAGAGCGTTGCCCCATAAGAACCTGAATCGCCTTGAAATCCATCATGTGTCAATACACTGTTACTGGTCGGGCTTCCGGGTTGACTGTCACCATGATCCGGGGTGGAGTTATCGTGCTTGGAAGCACGGTGTTCACTGGTTTAGTATGTACCACCCAACTAGACTGCTATGCAACCGACTTGGCGTAAAAATCTTTTGGACACTAAATATAAAATAAATCACGGCAAGCCCTGCGCTACTAGTAGCCGGTCTGCCGCTGTGTTCTTGAACATTTAAAATCTTTGCCCGCCTTCTGATTGGTCTTCATTAGTAGGATAACCCAGCCGAGGGTGCAATTTGCAAATGTCACGGGTACCTGTGATCATAAGAACCGGAGCCAGGGGGACAAGGAGGCAATTGGGTGTATGGCGAAGGAATTTGGAAAGACCACTCGCAGCGTGGGCCTGCCTAAAGCTATGTCCAAAAATCAAGACAAGGTTTGGCAAGGACGAGGCTCCAAACCTCGGCTGCCGGATCTATTCTTAAGCTAGAGCGTCGATCCTATGACTTACACTGAATGCAACACCGCACCTGCCAGCTGATTTGGAGTCAGAGACTCTTGGAAAAAGCCTGGGTCTTGCGACAGAATTGAGAAATTTTGTCTGTTGAACTCGAGATTCGGAAAATCGTCATGATGGTTTTCGGCCGACCAGCGTGGGAGTCGATACCGGGCATCAAGTTGAAATATCTTCGTTCTCTCATCTCTTCTACGGTGACCTACCGTTCATTGACTGATGTCATCTTCAAAGGTTCAGCCTTATATCCACGGCCAATGGTTGATGCCGGCAGGACATCGACTCGGGAACCCCCTTTGGAAGGCCCAAATGTACTACTAAGTTCAATCGTCCGTTTGTCGTTTGGTGGTGCGACTTTAGTTATTCATTCACTTAGTCGGCGGCGGGTTTTACTTCTGTGAGGTTCCGGCCTACTATAGCTCGGCAACCGGTCTACTACCTGGCTAAATGTTTCAGTCTCGGTTATTTGCAGGGTGGCTAATCCAAACAACACCGTGGTGACATTCAACAACGCTGCTTACCCTAATTCATGGACTCCCTTATTTAACACCTGGACTTGGGGAGTAGACAGGACTTAGTACCGGTTAGTGTCATCCAGATGCTGCTGTGTCGATATCGGCGGACTTCTTGTCCTGGAATCCCTTCGAGTCATTTCACCCATCTTTTACTACCAGAGATATCCGTTGAATGCCGAGTGGACCCCGGATTACGCTTATACTAGGTCATTGCTGAAATTGGAGGCTTGGGCTCGGCTGAATGGGGGCTATTTACCTGTATGTTTTCTCGAGAAAGTCTGTCAGCCGTGAGCACTGCGAGATACCTCTGAATCATTGCATGATCATTCTTGTCCGAATCTGTTACTAATGTGACGTTACTATGTGTTGTTCACATGATGGCTACAGACTCGGATGTCCAGGATCCTCAATCTCCACGTCACCCCTGAATCTCAGAACGATACGTAACAGAGTATGCGATATTATTCGTGTCCGTGTACTAAGGAGTCATGATCAACATTTGTAACAAGCACTCGAGCAAAATTAGCTCAGTTAATTTTCTGATTAGGGTCATGGGACTCGCCGATGGGCCGCCGACTCTGGATCTGAACGTGCGCTGGATTATCACCGAGTTCGTATCCCAGCCTGAGGGCCTGTTCTCAGCATTTATCAATGAGGCCATGGTCTTTTTGGACAGATGCGATACATATCCTGGGACATTCATGAACTTGAATGTATCGAATTCGAATATGGCGTCCAATTTGAGCAGCCATTACATGAGTCACAGGCTCTTATTTGGCTGTGTCTCAGGTGCATGTAGTACGTCCTGCATGCGAGTAGGCGCTAGTACTGTGTGCCCTCGTAGCCATCTTGTCGGTTAAGTTATCTCCTTCAGCATGACATGATCCGTAATATCACCGGTTACGGAGAAGGGCGTGCGCCCCCCATGACAATTCATATGAATTTCTACAGACAGCAGCCTGCATTCGCTGAAACAAGCGCTGGCATTTGACCCAGCAGGCATGTAATGCATGTAATCCTAGCACGAATACCAGGTATGGATGTTACCTACTAAGTGACGGCTTCCTCACTTCACCATAGTCAGATTGCCGCATCGCAAGCGAGTTTAGTGTCGGTTTCAATGATCGTGAAGTGTACCTTACAGATGACTTGGGCGATTGGGAGAGTCGTGTTCTCTCTTCTTAAACTTCGCAATGGAATCATGCCGTGAAAGGATTCATGAAGTTACGTCCACGACTGATGGTCCAGTCTCCCATGTGGCCAACTACATCTTCGGTCTTATCTTATGACCAGTATCCATCTGGAATAAACGCCTATTAGCGGTCTAACACCTGAAGCATAACCTAGTCTCTGGGCTAACTTGTGCGAACAGTACGACCTAAAGCTTGGTGATTAACTTCGAAGTTGGGAGACGTTCAATTCCGAGTCGAAGGGCTGAGCCAACCTGTTCTACTACTTGAATGCGGGGACCTACTATTCCAGAAATTTAAACCCTTTTTTTAATTGTCCCTTACTGCACACTGGGAGATTCCGAGTCTGTTCCGATTCAGACGCTTACAGTTCCTTGGCAGGTTCTTGTATGTAAGCCACCACCGTTATACACTGTCGGTTATCTCGGGTTAAATCCTGCAAAGCCAGTGCCCTGACAGGATTTAGGGTTCATTGAGCCGCTGCACATCCTTTTTGAGCTACCGACCAGCTTGTTCATGAGAGTCTTCTCGAACTGACGAAGCTTCAACTGATCAGCTCTTCTATGAAACCCTCACCGTTGCCGAGGGCCTGAGGCGAAAGGTTCTGATGGGCCGAGGTCGATGTTAAGAACTCGTGTTGAGCTTCCATGCACAGGTCGATCACAAAGTGGAGTTGCCAGAATAAATAGAGGTATTACGTAGCTTCAGGGTCGAGTAGCGCACGCAGTCGGCCAATAAAAATCGTTTATCGTTTATTTCATTGAGACCTTCAAGCAACACTGAGCTGTGGCGAGAAAAGTAGGCTCCTTCGGCCCGAGCAGTAGGCACTCACCAGCCAGAAAGATGAGAGAGAAGCCCAGTAATTCTGGCGCACAGATTCATGATCAGTGCATATGTTATCAGTAGGAAAGCTGCAAATCAAGTGTGGGCTCAATTCATAGGTTGAACAAAGAACTGACGCTCAGAGCGTCACGTCGAGTCTGACGTCTGGCCCAGGCCTGAGAAACGGTAGTAGTCAATTTCCTCCGGTGAGCACAAGATAATTGCAAGGTCACTTCACCTCGTTTGAAATATTCATTGTTGCTATTCACATGAAAGGAATTCTCCGCGTTCGGGACTATCACATCGCCGGAGGGTGAGTGGGATCTATGACTAACTGACGCAGTCACTGATTGATGATCTCCCTCATGAAATCAGCGCGGGTGACAATATTTAGTCACATCGCTGGGACATTGCAACATTATTATCCTCTCATCAACGGCTTCTCGCGAAGGCTCACCGTCGAGATGTAATCATGGCGCATGTTTTGTGGCATGATTCTGTGGTTGCCAACTGGGGGTAGTTATTTTTGCGGTACCACCCTTTATTCGGGCGGCGCAAACCATACTGTCTCGTACTTCTCAAGAATAAATCGCTGCAAATTTGAAACCTTAAGTACGTGACGCAGCTTGATCGATTGACAACGGGGTTCTTGTCCCCTCCGCATGTTATGTCAAAGCTATTTTCGTTAATCATACAACTTTTCTGCCACATCCGGGAAACTTACTGCCATGTTTGCCGTTAACGCCCCCAGTGGGGCACCCTTAAGTTATATTAGCCAACGCTAGCCAGCCTCCAATTGGTATACTTCACCTGCTTTGATCTATAATCAGATCACTATAGTATTGTATTATCCTGCACCCATAATTTGATCGCCCACACTCCACGCCCACCAAGTGCGTTTTGAACGCTGCCCATCGTCATCTTGAGCTGGCAGCATGACAAGTCCACGTGATCCCGATCCTCCACAGGCAATACCACCGAGCCAAAGCACAGAAGACATTTTTCAGACGATCATGAAGGTCAGAAAAAGTTGGAAAACTCTGAAGGGTAAATCCGAGCCTGTATGGCCACCTTGTCTCGAAGCCACGATGCTGAAAGGTGCGGATTGTATTCACAACCTAATTAATAGGTCACGTGACTCCGAGCCAGGCCTTCAAGAATATGGATCCGCTCACTACTCCCGGG